GGCAACGGCTGCGCCTCCAACAACCATCGCCGCGGGGCGTGGCCGCAAGCATTTGCAGATGCAGGGTGCCAACGCCAAGCGGCTGAAGGCAAACAAGATCCAGAAGGTGATGTTGGCGGCGGCTGCGGCACCAGTAGAGAAGCCCATCTGGGTCATGGACGTTATCAGCCACGTCCCACAGGCAACCTCGAGACCCACAGCAAGAACGCCCAGGCCACTGCATGTGAGAGTAAAGCAGCTTGGTAGCGAGCTCGCACGGCTTGCCTTCGGTGCATCCCTATCGGCCCTATCCCGATCCTCCAACACGGGCAGCTTCAGGAAAAGGAGAGAGGACAGGGCGGTGAAGCCTCCAGCCATGTAGAACATGCCTTGCGTGCCGAAGGTGCTGGAAGACAGCTGCTCCAGAAGCACCATGATGACGCAGCCAAAGGCAAAGCCACCTTGGTTGAAGCTCTGCGCGGCACTGCTCAAGCTCGCGTCCTCATAGAGCTCCGAGACAAGAAGGTTCGTCATCTGGCCGATCCAGGGTCGTGGCAGGACCTGAAAGCCGTAGGTAGCAACAAGGGCCAGCATGGTTTGGCTGGCGACTGGCAACAAGGCGAAGAACCCGCCGAGCCAAAGCATCATCGCAAAGAGCAGACGATGGTGGAACCGTCTGGGCACGTATGCCATAAGGCTAGAGGCCAGGCCTGAGGCGATGCACATCACCGCCTGAGCAGCCGGAAGCCACCCAAGAACCTCAGGCGACACCTGCGCGTTGCCCGCTAGCCACGGAATGGCTGGGCCTAGGGCGCTGCAAATCATGCCGAAGACCATCGTGGAGATGGTGTAGGCAGCCAACTGAAAGTGCTTCGTGCGCCGGGTCGTTCCTCCGGTCAGGGACTTCGCCGCCTGAAACCTTTCCAGCCGTTCTTCTTTGGTCATCGCCATGGGGGAGCGCGTCACCGAAGGCTGCTGTAACAAGGTGAGTGAGTCAACAAACTTGAGCCGTAGGCATGGTTGAGGCTTTGCCGTCTCTTTCATTACCGCAAGGCATCTCAAAGCCGAGAAAAAAAAAACAAAGCTTCACCCACGGTTCTGGCACAACAGCAGCCCCAGCTGGCAGATCAAAGCTACTACAGAAGCTCGCATGCTAAGCACGTGCGCGGCCACGAAGCATCCGAGAGGCTGAACGGAACCGCGGCACAAGGTCTCGTCCATCCCCATGGAGTCATATCAATCGTTGATGAACATGTTCTTTGGGTTTCTGCGGTGGCTACTAGCATTCGCCCGTGCCTGAGTTTTTCAAGAAGCTTGCTAAGGCACGCCCGCGACCGATCGTGTTTTCAATTCTTTTCTTCCTGAAGTACTTCCTTCGTTGTTCTTTCTTTCCTTGAAGGGTCTCACTTTCGGCGATCCGGGTCGATCTCTGTAGCCGTCGGTGCGACAGCAGCTGTCCGATGCCTAAACTTACCAACTGTCCCTCGCTCTGCATCTGCCGTTCTGTGGGCCTTGGGCCCTGGGCAAAGGCAGCTCATCACCAATACCATCCAATACCCATGGTGGCAGAAAGGATTGGAGAAAGACCGACTCAACGTGCCGAGATAGCTGCGGAAAGCATAGAGTCTCAGAGTTGCCCGCACCACTGAAGCGTCGAAGCGTGAAGCACACAGCAAAGCTTATAGCAGCCTAGCGGAGTGAGTGAGTGAGTGTGAGTGTGTGCAAGATCCGCCTGGCAAGAGGATCACCCTGTGTGTGATCGGTAGATGAGAGGGATGAAGGAATGCTTGCACCAGCACCTTGGTATCTGATGACTGGGTGCCAAAGGAGACGAGTACAGGGCAGATTGTTGAACATGGCGCTCACTTGAAGTCTTCAAGTCGCGCACTGCATTTCCAATGGTAGAAGCAACCGCGGAGTAGAGCACAGCAAGGTAGAAGTACTTGTGGTTGCGGTAACCAACACCTAAGAAGTGAGAGGGCGTTCCTGCAAATACGGAAGTGGAGACATGAACTAAAACGAAACTCAGCCAGGCAGCAGTTGGCGAGCCATACGCAATAGTGGTCCATCCTGGTCAGCACAGTCTTCAGGATTTCCTTATGTTGCACCTGTGTTCACTTTCATGCCACCTGCACTAGGAGTAGGATGGGGCGTGAGCCATTCCAGCACAGCATGTGTATGAGTAAAGAGAAATGAATGCACAGGAAAGCGGCGTTGGCTGAGCAAAGCAGCCGCAAACACGCATATGCCACAAGCAGAGAAAGCAAGGCAGAACAAGAAGGGTCTTCTCATGATCATCAGCAGCAGCATCAGCACAACAGCTTTTTGCAGGGCACGGCGTACATCGACGTGCCATTTTGCGATGAGTGGCTAGCACTAATGACTAAGCAGCATGAGATCAATTGCATTGACATGTCTACTGCAAGTAGCCGTGGCGACCCCGGGGCCTGAGCACATTCCTGTTCAGAAGCTTGCAGAAGTGCGCGCGTTCGGGCCTGAACTTCTCCTCCTGTTGGCAGGATTGGGAGGGGGTGGGGGCCCCTCTCTTACCAACATGATCTGGCTTTCTGTCAAGATCATGGGACAGCTACTGGCTCCCCCAAACCCAATTCATTCGACCATTCTACATCTACCTGCAATGAGTCGCCCGAACCGAAGCGCAACACCAAAACCCTCATGCCTCGCCTTCATGCAGAAGTACGGGCGAGCCGGGCCTGTGAGTAGGGTCAGGCTCTTTAAGGGGCTTTTTTCGCATTTTGCCAATGGTTGCTACCCACATGGGCTTAGGGTTCTAGTTGGGCTTCAAGATTTGGGGCTTATGTTCTGCTTTTGTGCTTCTGTTCTGCCACCGTGTTGGTGTTTTTGCCGCCAGCCATGGTTGAGGGTGTGAAAGCTTGGCGGACGAAATCCTGAATTGCATAATAAACTGCGCGGTTAAACGGTGCTTAGGTTTCGCTTAAGGGACGTATCTACCTCATCTCACTGCTGCTGGTTCGCGAAGGGGGACCCTGCATGTGTCCAAAACTTGTCGCACTTTGCACCCTCTAACAGCAACCGAGGCACTGCCCCGCTCCTTCGGGAACTGCAAGCCTCCTTCTTCCTCCTGAGCTGCCAACGACGTGCTACTCGGATCTTATCCAGGGCTGCATCTTTAAGGCCAAGCCACGAAGATCGGCTTCCCACTTGAACCCAGCTTCCAGTTTTCTGGAATACGCCCCGGATCCTCAACAACGGCACCTCAGGCACGCTGCGGAGATACACAACCAGCCAAATAGGGTCCAAACACCCCCCCCCCCCCTCCCCATGACCATGGGTACATAATCCAAGCGTCGTTCCCACGAGACCAGTGCCAAAACCTAGGAAGAGCATGCCGGATCTGCTGCACTCGCTCTCACACTCACACAAACCACAAGTGCATGTCCCACATCTCTTCGACTTGGCCCACTTTCCCGGACCTATCTTCTAAGTGAGCTCTCAGTGTGACCTTCGGAGTTTTGACTGCTGGCGAGCGGCGAAGGTACCATGAAATATCAGAGAGGAAGAGCTGGCCCAGTGCAGGCCTGCACAACCTTCGCAAGGGTGATTTGACGAAGCACCACGGTAATATGACCGCCCTGACCCACACGCGGAGGCTCCTGAGGTGAGACTACTTCGCGCTCCCCAGAAATGACAACATCTGGGGCTTGGGGATTCTCGAGGTTCAGGGGACTCTCTGTAGGTTCCTTACGAACCCCTGTGAGAATCTGAGCCCAGCTTCTCACAGAGACGTAGATATCGCCCATGACGAGGCTGCAAACGATCAGGGTGCCAACTGAAATGGCGGGACGCTCTGCCAAGACCTGCGCAACATGTAAACGAAAGTCAACCCGAAGCCCTACATCATGGGTTGCCCATGGGTACGATTCTTTACATCAGAACAAAACAGCTGGACTCCTGGGCCAGGCGGAGCTTGGCCAAATGAGTGGTGACTCCTAGAGGCCAGGGTTCTTCAGGCATGCAAGAAGCCCACAAGCCTGAAAAGCGGTGCTGCTTCCGCAGATTCTTTTGGCAATGTGGGGCGGGGGGGGGGGGGTTCCCACGTCCTTGGCCGCGGTGCAAGATCTCGGCCACGGCCGCGTCCAGTGCTGCCTTTGTCGCGTCTTTACTCTATTTTTGCGGCCTTTAGAACAGTACGTACGTTTCGGGACTTTCGACCCTTCAAAACCACGTTTTCCATCCCGACGCCTGGAGGCAGAACTCGTCAGAACTCTTCGAAAAAGGTGTACAGAGTCAGAGTTGCGAAAGATGCCCCCCCTTTTCAGGAGCAGGGTCAGCCATTGATTTGCTGGGCGCGGACAAGTGGGGCAAGCCAGCAGGCCCGGGAAGGCCCCCAACGAAAAGAGTGCAATTACGGTTGAACTGGCTTGGCTGCCTTACTGGATCAAACTTGAGCTTTTTCTTGTGACATCTTGTGACGCTTCTCTACTGACTATTTCCGGCCCAGGGCGGAAAAAACTCCGCCAAGAAGGTCAGCATAAACAGGGATGCATGCAGCGTGACAATCCCAAGGTGTGACAAGCAACAACACCAAATCACCATGCCAGTACCGGCAAGACGAAGGCAGACCACTAAACCATAAACCCTACACCCTCAACCCTGAACCGTAAAGCCCAAACTACCGCAGTCAGAACTCCATACATCTCCAGGGCTAGTGCCTCGGCGTCGAAGCTTGGTGTTGAGCCCACCAAGCTGCTGGTACCGCCATGGCTGGAAGGATCCATTGCCACATGCTGGGCACAACACGACTGCAGTTTCTCCTGGCACTTGCTACCCCCTTACTGATTATGGCTGAGGGAACCCAGTGGCTTCCTTGTGCAGGTTGCACCCGTCACTCGTGGGTGTGAGCCCATGGGATGCATGATGTCATTCACTACATGAACCAAGCTCCACGATTCAAGGCGGCACATGTGTGGAGGCTACATCTGTCCAGAATCATGGTTGTGCATGGTGGATGTCTGAGACCTTGCCCCCAAGCGCCAGGCTCGGCGACGGACTTGCCATCTGCAGCCACGACTCCGGCACTTTCCTTGCGGCGATTCCACTGACTTTGACGATAACACGACTCAACTCCAAAGGATCCCAATTTGATGGTCTTCCCAGCACCTCTAGTCAGGCAGCACTCGCATGGGTTGTGTAGCCCGCATGCTTTGCGTGTTCCCCTTTAATGCAGCTGGCTGCCTCGCCCCAGTTGGCCACATTCTGCGACCAAGTGCGGAAGTTTTTGAGGTGTTGGAGCCAAGCCTGGCGCAACAAACTAAACAAGCTGGCAAAACCCCATCGTGACTCACGATGCTGTAGAATCCTGTAGAATTTATCAGCTCATCCATCAGCAGAGGTCTTGTTGCCCGAGCCTCCGTGTTGGCCATATCCCTGCCCGGCGAGAAAGCACGGACAATCTCCAACCTTCCGGCACAGATGGAAGCTCTCAAGACCCAGATGGGGGTTGACGAAGATACAGGGGACCCCAAAATAGCCCCCCAAATAGTAGGATTCCCTGATATTATTAATGGACCCCACTACCCCTATTGTCGTAGCCCCCCAGATGTCTATCGGCATCTCCATCCGAGGCACCCGTTCACAATGCCCACACCATGGACGCCAAGCGTATAGTCGCACCCCAGGAGCATCGCAAGTACCACGAGGTGGTCTTGCCTTACTCTAAGGGGCCGTCCCCAAGTCGGCTGCAAGGGTTTAGGGTTTAGGGTCCAGGGTTTAGGGTTTAGGGTTTGGGGAAGTTTAGGGTTTGCTGCCAAAAATGGGGGGAGAACTCCTTTCAATGCCCTGATCTAGGCCTCACCTGTCCCATCGCGGCCGGGGCGCAGGAGACCCAGGCAGGACTCCAAACGCGCAGCACTGTAACACTCGACGAGTTGGTCCTGCAGTGCAGGGCCCTATCTCAGATGCTCTGACCTCGTGTACACATCGTGTCATGTCGCCGCCGGTATCTGCCCCCCCTTTCTGTTGGCAGCGGCTTATTCGCAGAATGGCACAGTCTCACCGCAATGTCGCGGTAGACGTGACAAAGATTGCTGCGCTTGACAGGGCCGATGTTCAGCCGGGCTCAGCTTAGCTGCCTGGCCGCTTCAACTCATTCGGAGGTGATCTCCGGTCACCCTATCCACCGTTCTCTGCAATTTCATTTTCTTGCCCCACAAACTAGAACGCAAAAGAATGGAGCGCCCTCTTGCAGACTTGGCCCGAACCCCACGGTAAATTCCAGAACGCTCGGGTGCTTTCAGTTTGCGATGGCCATGTCAATGTTCTTGCCCTCCCAGCGCCTTTTGTTAGATGGTTCATGCCCTCTGCATGAAGTTACGCGCCATCAGAAGCCTCACGTGCCCTCACGACTTACCTTGTTTCCAAACCTTATTCCGGTTATCGCATGTCTTTAGAGAAGACCGCAGAAGACCATTTCCGGTTTTCTCACTTCAGGGGTTTGAAGTTGCCCACGTTTGAGTTTTCGGTAAGAAAATGGAAATGGCAAGTCTCCAACTCTTTCTAGGTACGTCTCTCCCAATTGCAGCTACAGGTATTTCCAGAAGAGACCATAGCTCATGATCAGGCTTTTCATTTCCTCATGCTCAAACTTCGGTGGAGAGGTAAACCGGAAGGCACTCATCCAAGCCTCTTTGCCTGGACCTGCTCCCTTCCGAAGCTGAGTTTTAAGGGGAAATCATTCCTTTAATCCGAAGCCTACATAGCATCAATGAAACCTTACGCCAACGTCCAGCCTTATCCACTGAAGGATCGGGAGGCTGGTTTGGGATCTTGTCTTGTGATGGCAAACATTCCAAGCCCCGCAAAAACGCGTTGCCTGGTGGCGATAGAGGCTGATGTCTTGCACTGGCTAGGACTATGGAATAAGGTCCTACCGGCTTGGACGCTCACACCCACGCACCGCATGCGAAGCAAGGGTCGGCGGCAGGGTCTTGGAAAAGCATGCAACGTCAGCACCAGATGCGCGGCAAGTCATCACGAGAAGCCTAACATGCAGCCTATGACGCACGAGCTAGCTCTACAAAGGGAACTTGTTTGGAGAGGTGACGGCCGTAGAATACACATGTTTACCGTATGTCATTGTGATGCAAAGCGGGACAAGATGATGCCCGTAACATCCTAAGCTGCTCATGCTCGTGTTTGGTGGAAGCCGTCACTTCCGTCAAGTCATGTACCGGCGAACGATCCACTGAGGGACCGGTCCGCCCGGTGCAATAACATCGCTGCAGTAATCATCCTCGCCTGAGTCTTCCAGAGATGCGACAAGAGGAACAGGTTCCCTGAAGATCAAGCTGACTTCAGGAATGCTATTCCAGACGTTCCAAGGCGTTTTCCGGCCAAGTTTCCAGAGTGTTTGGTGCCTCCCAGTGCCTTCGGAACCGTCTCGTGGGGGATGTACTGCAGAATCGTCCGGTCTGTTTCTTCGCCTTTGACAATTTGAACTTTGTCCTTAGCTTCCAATTGCTTGTGAACGCGTTGTTCATTTAAGACTTCTCAGCTACAGGTGCAGGGTTCATTTAGGCCATGTCTCTGCGGTTCCCTTGTCAAGGAAAGTGCGCACGATTCGCCAAACTGCTGGGAATACCCATGGGGCACGGATGACGAGAACCCTCTTGAGCATCTCTGGGTATCTGTCCTTGCTTGCATCAGGAAGTGGGCCAAACAAATGATGGCTCGTGTCTCCGAACGTGTGCGATACCCTCACTATCAGATTCTCACAGCGTGCATGCCAGCGTCCGACTGGGTCCGGATGACAGTCTTGAAAAGTCCCAGGCCGCGTCTGTCCAGATGTGTGATATTCAAGCCCGCGAGATCGACGACCAGAGTGTAGCGGAAGCCTGAGTACTAAGTGTACTATGGCATGGGGACGCATGGGGACACAGAGCTTTTGCGGAGCTTACGGAGCTTCATGACAGCTTCGTGAGGCTTGAGGCGGGCACTTTGGCAGGAAAGAGTCGGCATGTGGAGCCCTCTTTCGACCCGCAACGGTTTCGTGTTTCTGGGAAAAACCGGGCTTTGGGGCAGGCCGGGGGGTGGGAGGGATAGAAGAGGCAAGATGGACCCGAAGTTGGTTTTCAAAGGGGCCATTGTGCTTTCCTTCCTTGAGTCGCTGTTTCCGCAAGCATTCCAGGGAAGCCATCAGGCACCTGGGCAGGAGAGGACGCTGAGAGCAAGCTGACTTCGCTAGAATCGGTTGTCTGGTACGGGTGCGGCCGAAGGTCTCCTGAGTGTACAGCGTGTGCTTGAGCACATAGCCGTCGGAGCTTTGTATCAAGGTCGGCACATGACTCACTCCAACTCTTTCCTTAGATCAAGATGACTTGCCTGCAGGCGAAGCTGAGGAATCCTTTGCATCTTCGGCACCCAGATCACGGGATCCCCATCGAAGTCACAGCCTGGTCAGTTTCCCCAAGACCCCAAGAAGAAGCCCGAGCCGCAAGAGAGTCTGAGGAGTTCCCACCAAAGCGCTGAGTCCCAAGCCCATGACCCCAATAGTCTTCCAGTACCGGTCAGAAGCCTCAAAAGGAACCTCGCCAAGACAGGATCAGAACCACAGCCGTGCTAAGCAGCGAGTGTTTCATCGGATTGGATAGCAAGCTTTACGCGAACCTGGCGAAAATACTCGACGAAAATGAGGCCTATAGGATCGATAGGATCGACAGGGCATCCGACCCGCAACCTATACCCCCACTCGGGCCTTAGAAGGTAGAAGCGCGAGTTTTCTCATGGGGCTGCTAGGCGTGGTCTCGTGCCCTCTACTTTGCCATCTGGCACTGCAGATTGGCTGCGTGCGCCATCGTAAACCAACTTGCACCCTCCTCTTTGCTCTCCTTCTTCTCTCCTGCTCCCTTTCTTCCGGCTGCTGTCCGCACAGTCGATTTGGACCTCCTCTCTCCATTCACAAGTCCGACAAAGGTCCAGGCGGGGAGTTCACGAACAACTTAGTGATTCAAGACGAACCGATACAAACTCGAGCAGACACCTGTAGCCTACGATTGGCAGTGCGGAGCTGGCTAGCACAAGATGACGGCCTTGTCCCAACGAGGGAGAACATCGGCTGCGTTATTTTGCAGACGCCACTCGATCGTCGATTGAATCATTTCCTGGAAGCAGCAACAGCTCCACACATCTGGATGGCGGCGACTTCATGAAGCATATCCCACGAAAGGTGAATGCGGGCACTGACTAGCTGACTAGTGGTGCCGCATGCCAAACCGTGGTCAGCAACCCCGGTCCAACGCATGCTGGACGTTGCAATTTCTCGCCAAGAGGAACCTCCAAGCCAAGAGTTGCATCTCCACAAAGAAGCGGACTACTCCGACTCTTTCCTATCACAATACACACGACACATCAGACATTGTAACGCAAAATAATGGAAGGTACTTCAGATATCATGTAGCACATGCAGGAATCCACTGCGCGCCTTAACAGAACGCGAGGGTCTCTTGGCTGAACCCACCCAGAGGCTGGCAGGTCCTGGTCATGAGGGCGAAGCCCAGCGCGCTGCAATATGGGGGTTTACGAAAAGAGGGACCCCCGAAAATAGACCCCCAAATTAGTAGGATTCCCTGATGCTCAGGACCCTAAACCCTAAACCCTAAGCCCTAAACCCTAAACCCTACACTCTGGGTACCCCTATTTTCGGAAAACCCTCCATATCTAGTTCTGCGAGGCAGCAGGGCCTCGGCAAGGTGCCGCAGCTCCAGCCTGAGTCTTCGATCTTCGATTCATGGGTTCCCTAATTCCCCTCGTCTATACAGGGTTTAGGGTTTTAGGGTTTAGGGTTTAGGGTTAGGCACGAATTATTAAAGGTGTAAAGATGCACAAAACAAGTTTTCAAAAACATGTGCTGACGAAAACTGTTGATGTTGTGTGTGTTGTTTTGCTGTTTTCTTGGTGTTTTTGTCTTCCGTAACATGTTTTCCTATACTTTTCGTACTAGGTGTGGAATCCCTGTTCAGAAATTTCGTTCGAGTTTCTGAGAAACTCTTACTCTTATGCTCTATTCCTGATTGTAGGTGCTTATGTTGGTTTCTCTCTCACCCAGTTCTGGGGGGCGGCTGTTGAAAAACCCTCCTAAGTCATACACCCTAAATCCTAAATCTCTCCATCCTGTACCGTAAACCTCACTCCCTGAGCCCTCACCACAACACCCTCGGAGGCATGTGGTACTTGCCGAACAGGTGGTTGAACCTGGCATGCTCGCATGGATCAGTAGCAAATCTGCATTCAAGTTGCGCTGTAAGCTGCTTCGATGCGTGTAAGATGTCAAAGCATTTGACCTGTTTTCGGGCCTTTGCTAGCTGCAGTCTGTCAGGTCGGCGCAAGGTTTCTCGGGGCACTTCAAGACGACAGCGCCTCCGACTCTCACCTTCAACGCGCTCCTGCGGCACGTTCACTGGGTTTATATTTGAATGCCGGCTTGGTGCTCCTCCAGCGACTGCTACGATTCATGCGAGAGATAACCTGCGCTCGCCCCGACTCCAGAGCTCATCCGAGCCGAGACCTTTGCCTTTGCCGCCCTTCGCTGCCGCCTTTTCCGATCAAATCGATTTGTTCTTGACTATTTGCCTTGTGCTCCTCCAGCAGAGTGCCAAGATTCATGCGAGAGACAACGCTGCTCAGCGCCTCGTGACGCGCATGAGAAAACTTATACTCTCTCACCTCGATTTCTTGGTCTCCCACGAAGACGAGACCGCACCCCACGGGATTGCAGAAAAGGTGTTTCTCCATCAATGTGGTGAGAAGAGATCCTTTCCTCCAGGACGGCATGTGATACAGCATGTGCACGAGTCTGGAGTCTTTTCGGCCGCATTCCATCACCTCAACTTCAATGATTGCGTACTCTCCTGAACGATGTACGGCCTTGAGGTCACCT